AATAGGGGTGTGTGAATTCAATCCAACTTCACAAGCAAATATAAAACTAAACTTCTCTGCCACAAACAGCTCATAATCAATGCTCAAATATAGAAACTTAAGGTTTCCTGTGACGCAGGAGAGAAACAAACATGAACCCAGGTGTTTTAGTTGCTGTGGCTTGCATTTCTCCTCTTAGCCTTCTATTCACCAGTGTTTGAGTAACTAGCTCAGTCCTAACTCTTGTGCAGGGCAGCCGTATTGCAATATGGGAGGGAGAGTCCTTCTGAAAGTTGCTGCCCCTCTCCACTGCTCCAAGAACAGTTGGATGGTATATGCGTCTGTTCCCCACTGCTGAGCCAGAGCAGCCCACTCGCATGTCACTTCCCTGTCTGTGTCCCCAGGGTAAAAGAACATGGCTGCAGACAAGTCGTGTCCAGTTTGCAGGTGGCTTCAAGAGCACAACTGTCAGCTTGCAATTTGACCTCCCCTAAGGCTGGGGCTGCCAGTCAGAAAACTATCCCCTTCCCTCCTTTGCAAGCCCTACCCAGCTCTGTTATGCCTGGCAGAGATGGGCCTCAGCAATGCACTCAGCCCTCAGTATGATGAAAGATTATAGTCTTTGAGAGTCCATGGATTGGTGTAGATGCGTCAGGGCAGTGGAGTAGGCTTCTCCCCACAGTCAGGTAGCATGGAACAGGATGTGGGTTTGAGCTTGGTGGCCCATTCAGTCCTTAGCTTCTATGTTGAGGCTGCCAAAGAAGGGGACAGTGAATGCTGACTGTGATACAGCTCTATCAAGTGGACCTGAGCCACCCCAAGGTTCCTCAGTAGACCTGGGGAAAGGGCCCAGACAGCAGGATGTTTGCTTGGTCACAGCTGCAATAGTATAGAGTTGCCTCAGCCTCCCTTCTGCTGCCCATAAGACACCAGTACTGACCAAAACATGGGCAACTTTGACTGGGAAAGTGGCGCTGGTTGGGTTGATGTAGGTGTTGTCTGCACACACCCTGCTCCCTCTCCCCCACAACCTCTTGGGGCACATCTAGATGAGGCTACAGGTGCCTCTTGCTGCATCTCAAAGCAGTTTGAGATGTGGCAAGAGGCATGCTGGGAACAAAAACCATTCCC